ACACACACTCTCTCTCTCTCTCTCTCTCTCTCTCTTTCTCCTTTCTCTCTCTCCACCTCTCTCATTCTCCCTCTTATTCTCCCTCTCATTCTCTCTCTTGCTCTTCCCACCCCCACTTCTTACTTTTAGTTTTGGGTACATGTTTAGTGAACATTGGCTTGGAAAGCGAGTTTTGCAAGAGAGGAGGCGAGACAAAGAGTACATAATATTGAGGATGACGGACTTAATCCATTCATCAGCGTTGCCCATTCCGCTCAAAAAATCCTCGGTTTATGTAACTTGAATTCGGAAACGTGCTTCAGCAGAGCAGAAAAAGCACGTTTACTACTGCGACTGGTAACAGTAAACAGTATAGCGGTTAGTTGCAATATTTGGTAAAACGGGACATGAGAATCATTTTAACGAGCCTTTTTATATAATAATATTGATAATAATCTACGCCCTTCCCTTCTCCCGACTCACTTACACGTATACCATTTCAATTTCCAACGATATACAGTATATGCAAAACATTCAGTGTATAATAACATACACACGAACATCTCCCTACCTATACGTAAATACAAAAGAGCTACAATTTTCTAAGCTCACAGGGTTGATTCTACCTACCTCCAGATCTTCTGCACATTCTCGAATACTTTCCGCCGTGGCGTTGCTATCGATATAGGAGCTACACTTTCCTAGCAGAGGAGAAGCATTCAGGTAGTCAGAGCAGTTCTGCACTGCTTCTTCAGGAGTCATAGTCGGCATGTCTTCTTCTTCTTCCACGTCAGCAGGGTCATCCTGTGATCATCATCATCATCATCATCATCATCATCATCATCATCATCATCATCATCATCCTCATCATCATCATCATCATCATCATCATCATCATCATCATCATCGTCATCTTCGTCATCATCATCACCATGTCTTCTTCACTACTTTTATAATGATTAGGTTCCTCATTCTTATTTATATAAAGGGCATATTCCATTTTCTTAAGAAAAACAAGAAACGCATCTAATCAAGAAACATCAACAGTATTACTAACAAACGCATTGGTCTTTAAAGCAGCCATAACAAGGACACAAAATGATACACCGAAATCAACAGCAACAGCTATAAAAACAACAGAAACAATAACAACAACAGCAACTTCAGCAACAACAGCAAAAACAACAATTGAGGTAACGCCAGAAAACACAACATCAAACTCCAATCCCAAAGGAGCAGCACCAATTCACAAACAACCAGTTACAAAAAGAAAGGAGTTTTGCCTTCAACGTCTATAGGACGCAATGGTTAGATGTTATACCTCTACAGCTCTCTTGTGCCTTCGTTGAGTGTTTCGGCCGTTTGAAAGACTCGGTCGTCTTGCCCCTCTTATCAAAATGGATGTGATATCTAGGCCTGTATAAGGAAAAGGGAAAAAAAATTGCACAGAGAAGAAATGTATTACCATCAAGTAATATCATGCATTGAATACAAAAGTGGTTTTGAATCTTATGATGTAATCAAATGTTATGACATAATCAAAATTTATTGAGGGGGGCTGCGAAGGACGAGTTGGGTGACTTTCGTGTGCGACTGGTTAAAACTTTTGAAGCCACGTTTTGTAACATCTTTGTTTCATCGTAAAATCGATTCATGAAACTCAAACTCCTGAAATATATAAATCCCACGTCTCTAAATATACTTCTGTCATTATCTAGTATAGTATAACATGCATGTACGTGTATTAAAACACAGTTGAGCTACGTGGCGTTTACGTTATCACATTGAGTTTAAATTTTTGACACAGTGCAAGCTTTGCCCTACTCGAGTGTACCTGAAATTCGCCGGGTGGTGCACATGTAAACATCCAGGCCAGCTTTGCAAACTGGGCTCTGATTACTCTGACAGCTGCAGTAGACTGGAGGGGACGGGTAGGGGTAGGCGGCCACTCCCCGGAAATAAGTATCGCTGCGCCTGGAATGAAGCAGAGACAATTCGTGTTTCTGGCTGATCGGTAGTACAGTTGGTAGGAAACAAAAACAAAACAACAAGAACAGCAGCAACAACAACAAATCCAAGAAACAGACAAAACAAACAAACAAACAAACAAACAAACAAACGAACCAACAAAACAACACGAAACAACGCTTCATTCTAAATAAAAAAAAAGACGAAAACACAATTAAAAACAAAAAGCAAAAACAAAAAGCAAAGTCTGACCGTTAGATGGCTCAATAAACATAAGCGATAAAATTGTAGACACATAGACATAGAAACCACAGATAGATAAGACATAATCAGACAAACAGATGAACAGGCAGATGGATAGATTGATAGATAGATAGATAGATAGATAGATAGATAGATAGATAGATAGATAGATAGAT